CAGGTCCTGCGGCGCTTCTGGGCTAGGACTGGCCAGAACGGCTGCTGGGGCAGCCGGGGCTGGGAATGGAGGGGAGGGCAGCCCCTGCCAGGCTCCCAGCACTCCCAGTTCTACCCATGGCAGTGTGTGGGGAGCAGGCTGGGCAGCCTGGCCTTTGTTCGAGTGCCCCGTCACCGAAAAACAGTAGTTGCAGAAGAGATGGAGGAAACTGCGAAGCATCGGGGTGGGGGGGGAGGGAAAAGCAGAGCCCGGGGGTGCAGAGCCTGCTGCAGCTCTGACAGCTGGGAGGGCTTGGAGGTCTCGGTTCTGTTTCCCCCGTGCAGGTGGCCGCACCACAACAGCTCCGTGTCTGCTGGCCTGGCTTGCCATCGCAACCGGTCCCACACAGCCGGCAGCAAGCCTGCCTGCGTGGCCGCACGGTGCTGGAGGAGCAGAGGCGGGGAGCAGTCCTCCTCTGCCTGCCCCACTGCGTCCTTTGGACAAAGCGAGAGCTGGGAAACGCGCTCTGACCTCGCTTAACAATCAAGCAAGAAGAAGGGCAAATAATAGAACTGGGTTCGAAGCAGAGGGGTGGTCGTGAGGTATGTTGGGAGGGAGCTGGTGTGTGCTTCTGGCTGAGGTACAGCTGGAAAACAGGCGACCCATCGGGGCTGCTGTCTATCTTGTTGGAGCTGGAGGAATTTCGGGGACCCAGGGGAGGACGTGTCTCCTGGCCGCTCCGTGCCTTGGCCAGTCTGTTACTGCCACCAGGTTCTGCTCCTCAGGCAGGCACATGCTCACACATAGGGCACTGTCTTGGCACGGGCTGCCGGCCAGTCCCCACTCTTTAGTCTGGCTGGGTCCCCCAGCTGGGCTCTCTGCCCAGCTCAGGCTCCAGGATGGTACGGAGCGGGTGAGAGGCAGCGAGGGGGCTGCCAAGGGGATGGCGGGCTCGGCCCAAGGGATGTCCTTTGGCCGCCCCACACCAGCAACCAGGCCAGCAGCTTGCTTGATTGGCTTCTGCATCGCAGCCAGAGAGGAGCGCGGGCGTTGCTCTGTTTCTCTGGCATCAGGGATGGCCACGCCAGCCCTGCCTCTCCCCGCAGCTGTTCGGGCCCCATGGTGTTTGCTGATCCCTGTTTGCTGACGGGGTGAGGCTGGGGTGTGTGCCAGCCTGCGGCGGCTGAGCTGGCGCTTGCTGTACGGATGCTGTACGCGGAAGCGGCAGCTCCTCTTCCCAGTGTGAATTTCCAATTACCCCCTCGATGTCAGGGTAGCTGAAATATGTAGCTTTGAAGGCCTGGGTGAGCATTAGTTGCATTTCTGGCATGAAAAGTCACCCAACTCGTTTGTTTCTGGAAGGAGCCGGTAGTTGGGCTGTTTGTGTCACCTTTAGAAAGGCACCTGGGAGTTGTGGCTGGGAACAGCCGCGCTGCAAGCTCATCCCTGCTGGCTGGAGGGCTGGCTCCAGGGGAGAGGAGGGGAAAGGCTGCTCCGGCCCTGGGACTGCACCCATGGGACGTGACCGGTGCCACAGGAGCCAGGGACTGCAGGTGCCACACGATGCCGGTGGTGCCGCTCACTGTGAGCGCAGCAACCTTAGTGCCAGGGCTTAATGCCATGGATTTCTAAAACACAGCACCTCCGAGCAGCCGTTAGCAGATGCAATTCTGTGGGTGTCCTGTGCAGGTGGAGCTGGAGGAACAAGCAGATTTAATACACTGGCGCAAGGAAACAAACTTGCAAGGGCAAGTGTCGGATGCTGCCCCTGGGGAGGTTTGACCATAGGCACCAGTACAGGCTGGGGGCTGACCTGCTGGAAAGCAGCTCTGCCAAGAGGGACCTGGGCATCCTGGTGAATAACAAGCTGACCATGAGCCAGCAGGGTGCCCTTG